GTGATGTGGAAGAGTAAGCCAAAACCCCCTCCCTTCCTCAAGTTGCTTTTGGTTGGTGTTTTATCACAGAAGTAGAAAAGCAAGCTAAAACAGAGGTTGGTACTGATGGCACAGTATTGCTGTGACAGAAGTGACCGTGTTGTCTGGAGGACTGTGGTGGCATTTGGAACTCTGGGACAGAAAAGTCATTGAGTGTGCAGAGCCTAGAGGGTTAAAAGCTTGGAATATGGAAATGTCAAGAGGTGTATATGGTAGAGACCTGGCTTGTAAAGTCTCAGGAGGAAGCAAAGACTATTGGGGCTGTTCGTGTAATACTGTGAATTAAGAATCTGTTGGAACATCTTCTGGAGGCTATATCTCAAGCTGGCAAACACATCTGGTAATGGATAAGAGACTCTCACATGATATTGGTTTTGAAGGCATGAAGGGATAATGGAGAGATGCTGAGATGTGGCCTTATGTTGATAAGTTAAGAGTACCTGCCCAGAGGCCTGGTGGTCATGTGTGAAGGTGTGGCCTCGGTCGCAGATGGGAGACTCCAGCACACTGGAGATGCCAAGACTGTGGAACTTTAAAAAAGTTAGACTGAGTTATATTGTGATATTATTGAGAGGTCTTAGGAATAAAAAAGGAAAAGTTCATAGCTTAATAGTGTTAATTGACACGGTTTATTGTGCTGGCTGGTTTGTGTGTGTGTGTGTGTGTGTGTGTGCTTCCAATACAACCCAGAGTTGTCTAGGAAGAGAGACCCTCATCTGAGGAACCGCCTCCAATAGACTGGCCTGTGGGCAAGACTGCGAGGCATTTTCTTTTTCTTTTTTTTTCTTTTGGTTTTTCCAGACAGGGTTTTTCTGTGTAGTCCTGGCTGTCCTGGAACTCACTCCGTAGACCAGGCTGGCCTCAAACTCAGAAATCTGCCTGCCTCTGCCTCCGAAGTGCTAGGATTAAAGGCGTGCCACCACTGCCCGGCAAGGCATTTTCTTGATTGGTGATTGATGCTCAAGAATCCAGCTCACTGTGGGTGGTACCATCCTTGGCAGAGAGGCCTGAGTTGTGTAAAAAAGTAAACTGAGAAAGCCATGGGCGAAAACCAGTAAGTAGTGTTCATTCTTCCAGGGCCTCTGCCTTAGTTCCTGCTTCTGTACCAGCTGTGATTAGGAAGGTTAAGTCAAATAACCCTTCCTTCCCCAAGTTGGTTTTGGTCAGTGTTTTATCACAGCCATAAAGGGAACTAGGACTGAGGGTGTGAGCAAGTGAAAGCCGAGGAGGCTAAGGAATACTGTAGAGGAACCAGACTGGTGACTGAGGGCTTCTGTGTGCTGATGCTCAGCTGGCACTGACTGCTGTTTGGGTTTATAAATACGAAAACACTGGTCCTCTGGAACAACCCTACAACACAAGAACAATTTCCTTTCACAGGTGGGTGACAGAGGCCAGAGGGTGACTATTTTCCCCAGGGCCGCTCAGCCAACAAGCAGTGGCATTGGGATTTAGGCCCAGGTAGTCTCCCACATGTGGGGAAGAACAGCATGGGTGAAGAATACCTAAAAGTAGTGACTAGAAAGGCTCCTCCCACTTCAGAGCTTGCCAGATGGGGGTTGAGTGAAACCTCTCACAGCAGCTGTAAGGGATGCTGTGTCCTGTGTGTCCAGTAGATCTGAGACTGGGGGTGCTGCTCTCATTTCATACTTTGCTTGTTCTCTTTTCTTTCTTTTCGTTCCTATAGCCCGGGCTGTCCTGGAACTATGTAGACCAGGCTGACCTCAGAGACCTGGCTGCCTCTGCCTCCTGAGCACTGGGATTTAAGGGTGTGCATCACATCTGGCTATTGCCTTTTTCCCATCACTATGGCCAGGCCTCTATAGCTTACTGCAAGATGCTACCTGACATATGTGTTCTATTACATGGCTTAAAGGCTGTTGCCTTTAAGTTCTGACTCCATGACAAAAAAATATTTGTTAGGTATTTGCCCAGTGGATCTGTATTCAGCGTTACTGTGGTGGTTAATGGGTAGGCTTTTCTGGACCCTCTTGTGTTCTTGGGATAGACAGTCTGGCCGTTGATTAGTCTAACTGGAGTCAATATGCTCTTCTGGAATTCAGTGATTTTTTTTTTAAGATTCATTTATTTTATGTATATGAGTAGACTGTTGTTGTCTTCAGACATACTAGAAGAGGGCATCGGATCCCATTACAGATGGTTGTGAGCCACCATGTGGTTGCTGGGAACTGAACTCAGGTCCTCTGGCAGAGCAGTCAGTGCTCTTAACCGCTGAGCCATCTTTCCAGCCCAGTGATTTTTTTTTTCCCCTGTAAGAATGGTCCCTCTGTTCTTTCCTTCAATGTTACAGAGTTGGAGGAACAGAGAGGTCCCAGAGAGAGTTGTGGCCCTGCTGTGTGGCCCTCTTGGGTGAGAATTGGGACCCTGTTTTCTCAACCAGGCCTGAAGTCTAAGTCCAGGTGTCATCAGGACCATTCCTTCTGTGAGCTCTGAGGGACAAATGTTTGTCCTTTTTGGCTTCTAGTAGCTGCCTATCTGTGTCACTGAGCTTGGAACCCTTTCTCATTTCCAAGCACACTGCACTATTCTCTCCACATCCCACTTTCCCTCCACCATCTTATTAGGATGCTTAAAATGACACCCAGGCCCTTCCTGGGACAATGTCTCTAAGTTAAGATAGTTAGCTTTCGTCACCGCTGCAGAGAATCCTTTACCATGTAAGGAAGCTCAGTTGTAATGGCAATCTGGGTATCATGGGGCTGAACAGATCCTGAGAACTGTATGAGAAAGGCAGTCTAGCCTTCAGCTTGTTAAATGTAGGCCCCAACTCCAGAGCATGAGGGTCACCAAAGCTTCAAAATCCAGTGTCTTACTGAGCCAAGGTTTTTCCAGCAGTGTCCCAACAATGCAGGGTTCAACTTCACTTCAGGCCTGGCTGTGGACATGGCACGTACACTTCATACTAGGCACAGCTGTAGCACACACCAATGCTGCATAAACTACTCTGTCTCAAGTTCAAGACTGCTTGCTCTATGTAATACATTAGTGTTCCTGCTCTACATACTTGCACTTTTAGAAGCATGTGGTTGAATTATAGAAAATAAAGATGTTTCTGCCATCATCCTTCAGAATAGTTGATACTTCTGAAGTCTCCCACCATTTCCAGGGATTCTCTCTGCCATCCTGCTTGAGATGTAAGCTCTTAGCTGTTCCTACTGCCTTTGTTCCAAAATCAAGACTCTAACCTCCTGGAGTTTTGCTTTCTTCTTGAGTTGCCTTTATCCTGGTGTTCTATCATAATAGAAAGAAATAAGGGCTGGAGAGATGGCTCAGTGGTTAAGAGCACTGACTGCACTTCCAGAGGTCCTGAGTTCAAATCCCAGCAACCACATGGTGGCTCACAACCATCTGTAATGAGATCTGATGCCCTCTTCTGGTGTGTCTGAAGACAGCTACAGTGTATTCATATATAATAAATAAATAAATCTTAAAAAAAAAAATAAGGTAGCAAATATCAAATTAATTGGCTTTGGCTGTGCTGTGTTGGAAGACTTGTTTTAAAATTTCTGAGTGTTCATACTGGAATCAATATTTGGGGCCCAGTCAGTAGAGTGGTTACCTGTCATGTATGAAACCTTGGGTTTAACTCTCAGCATTACATAAACCAGGCATAGAAGTACATGCCTGTAATCCAAGCACTTGGGGGGCAGAGGATCAGAAGCTCACAGCCAGCTTGGGCTGAGGACTTTTCTCACAGAGTAAATAAATTTTGGTTTGGCAGTGACAGAATTTCCAAAAACTTTTAAGATTGCCATAAACCTCCCTTACCATTTGCATAGTTGTGAAACGTTTTGGTTTTTTGAGACAAGGTCTTGCTATGTACACAAGGCTGGCCTTGGCTCACAAAGATCCACCTGCCTCTACTGGGATATCTACCTGGGCTACGTGAAGCAACCTTCAAACTGATTACAAAATCAAACTACTAATCAACTCTGAAAAACGTTTAAGATGTTTTATATCCTCCGGAAGTATCAAATATTCTATGAAGGTTAACTCTGTATGTAAAACAAGCATGTCCATGCCACAAGTACACAAATATTTGCTTTTTTCTTTAATAAATCATAACATTGTATATATACCAAAGAATTATTTTAAAGTAACTTTTCTTTTTCTTTTTTCTTTTTTGAGACAGGGTTTCTCTGTGTAGCCCTGGCTGTCCTGGAACTCACTCTGTAGACCAGGCTGGCCTCGAACTCAGAAATCCCCCTGCCTCTGCCTCCCAAGTGCTGGGATTAAAGGCGTGTGCCACCACCGCCCGGCTAAAGTAACTTTTCTTATGATCTATTTTCAGTATGCCATTTGATTTACATGTTTTTATATTCCCGAAGGAAAAGGATAGGGAAAAAAGACCTTTGTTCTAGAGCTGATGCTCATCAGATCTGCAGATGGCACAGAACAGGCCTGACCAACTCTGAGTGATAGAACTGCTAGTGGAATCTGCAAGCATGTGATTTAGATGTGCCGTCTGCACAGGCGGCTTCGGCTGGCAATGCCATGGAAATGTGTACTGGACTTCAACAGGCTTGGCCTCTGGAGAAAGAATGTGGTTTGCCTTGCAGGTCTGTGCATGGGGGCAGGCGCCAGCTATGGGGAGTCTCCTTGCCACCCACATGGGAACCTGCTATTCAGAGTAACTGGGGTTTATGGCCAGGCCAAGTAGATACACATGACAGACACAGAAGAGAGTGACAGGCTTCTGCATGATGGGTGATCAGGTCAGAATTGGGAAATTCCTCTCTAATAAGTAGGCAGGATAACTATGTGGCAGGGCTGCATGGGGAGGGAACTGGGTATTCCACTAAGTGATCACCGACGGCTTCTGTCACTCTGCCAGCCTCTGTTCAACGACTATAGTTTCAGGGGAGAGCTAGGCTCAGACAGAGAGGTTGTGTGCATGGATTCATGTTATAGCAGGGCCACTTCTAAATATCACTCTAAGCTTCAGAGAAAATAGTAACATTTTTAAATGCCCACCCCTCCTGTCAGCACTGCTCCCAAGAGCATTGTTTATCTGGATGACATTCAGTTGACAGGAAATGAAGGGCTGAGCAGAGCTGGGAGGTCGCTAGGCCTGTGGGAACTGTGTTCAGTCTTCTCTCAGGGCAGCCTCACGATCTTAGGAACTCTCAAACCTGCCACATGGTTCCCTTCACACAATCCACATCCCTCCCAAAACAAGTTAGTGCACATAAGCGCCCAGGGAGTTAATGCTGCACTTGACAATCTCTGAGCACTGGTCGATGTTCTTCTTCACCCTGTAGAATTTCTCCACATACTCAGATCGCCCTAAGAGCTCCACAAAATCTTCATCATGAGTGATTACCAGAAGCTGGAAGTTGCGCTGCTGCGAGCGACTTTTTATGATCCTGAAACAATACATTGAGACGGTTTTTCACTAATGGACATAGATTTGGAAAAGCCACCAGAAATCCTGAAATACAAGAACAGCTGGGTGGCAACCAGGCTTTTCCTGGGCCATGTGTGACAGGGCCTTTGGCTGCCCTGAAGGATAATGGAGGAGGGCTGAGGCCTTCAACCTAGATAGCTAAGAGTCCTACCTCCTCCCCACTCAGTGGGATGCACAGTTTCCTTCCCCACCCGTCTATCTGGCTAAGAACTAGGTTAAGAATTTGGACTCGTTTCCCAAGATCCTCAGTTGCTATTGATGCAGGGGAAAGTCTTCTAGGAAAACCTAAAACATCAACAAGAGCCCAGCTTGCTCCTCTGCCCAGACTCTCCCAGACTTCTCTGAAAGTCTAAAAGTAACTCAGGCAGACAACAAGCAGGGAGGGAAATGACACTGCCTTCTGAGGAGCTGGGTCTACCTAGAATTCTGCCTCCTCAGTCACCAGATGCATCAGTGCTGTGACACACAGGGCCTGAGTGGGTGTACGGGGACATTTTTGCTCATCAGCAGCATGGTGAGGTATCAGCTATGAGGGAGACGCAACGAGAGTTTTAACCCAAACTTGTTTATCACTTTCCCAGGACTGGATGCACTTCATGTTTCAATCCCACAACCCCCTCCTCCTTGCTGGTCCCAGGATGATCAAGAACTGGCTGGAGGACACCAGTGCCATCAGCATCCTGGAGCCAGGGCTGCACGATACAAGCCGCCCTCCCTGGAGGCTTGCTGCCATGAGTGAACAGGTCCACACGAGTACGACTTAGCCTCTGCACCGCCCAATTACCAGTACTCTTCTTCCATAAAGCTCTAAGTGTCTGGCCGTGACAGTGACTCCTGTGCTTGACATGAAGGATTCACAGGAAATACAGACAGAGCCCTCACTTGCTCTATGCACACTTGGGGAGAGGCAAGATATGTCCGTGTCTCAATACTCTCGTTCCTTTTACTTCATGTCCATTGGTGTTCTAACTGCATCTCCATCTGTGTGAGGATATCAGAGCCTCTGAAGCTGCAGTTGTACACAGTTGTGAGCTGCCATGTTTGTGTGCATTGTAAATTGAATGCAGGCCCTCTGGAAGAACAGTCTGTGTTCTTAACCACTGAGCCACCCCTCCGGCCTTACAAGTTCTTTTTCAAGAGAATCTGGAGAATTATTATTGAAAGGCAAAGTGCATAGCCTGGCCCCAAGTGTATTCTTTTTGATTTGGAGGGTTTTATATTTGTTTGTTTTCTGAGCCTGGCCTAGAATTTGCTATGTGGCCAAGGCTGGCCTTGAACTCAGTCAGTAACCAGCCTGCCTCTGCCTCCAAGTCCTGGGATACAAGGTAAGAACCACCACACCCAGCTCTGCTATTGGCATTTTTAAAAAACATTACGACCTGCCCCTAAACTTGAAATACTTACTCAACCAAAGCATGTGCAAGAGATTCAATGTTTTCTCTGTCAAGATTTGTTGTAGGCTCATCCAAGGCAAGGATGCCACAGTTCAGACAGAAGGTTTCAGCCAGTGCCAGGCGGATGATGAGAGAGGCTAGCACCTGGAGAAAAGTTGCAGAACAGATGTTTTCAGAAGGGCATGGTGGATGAACTGAGTGTAGTGGTGCACACCTTTTATCCCAGCACTCAGGAGGCAAAGGCAGGGGGATCTCTGAGTTTTAGGTCAACTCAAGCTATGTAAGCCTTGTCTCCAAAACCAAAAAAGGGTAGGAAAAGGTGGGAAATGTCACAGGTCGCTGATGTCAGGGACAGTTCAATGAAGACACAGCTTTTCTGGAAGGTGGACCATTAACCACATTTCTCAGCCTATCATTTCTGCTGAAATAAAACACTGAGAAACAGTCCTGTAAGCATCCCAGATTTACTAAAACCTGGCATCACAGGCTAAGGGTAGATGCATACAATTTATCAGCAGTTGATAATTTTAAGAGAAGTCTTAAGAGTCACCTCCACTTCACTACATAGAACAGACTGGCATCAAACTTAGAGATCTGCCTGCTTATGCAGATCATCCTATGCAGACATCTTTAAGTCTCTAGAATTCTCTGGTCCAAAAGAGAAACCAAGTCGTGTGCACTAAATTGCACCCAGGTGTCTGCTTGTGTAACTGTGTCAATGAGGGAAAAAAAAATTGTAGGTTAAAGGTACCCGAGCGTGGCTCTATCTGTACTTATCTGCAGAGAGCCTACTGGATATATTCACGGTTATTAAAATTCAAACCCTCAGATTCAGCCCCAGCCCTCCCAGGGTTGAGGGGATACAGCAAGGGACCCAGACTGTTCTGGGCAGAGCACAGTGCTCTTGTTTGAGCTCTAACCTCCCTGCCTGCTGAGTGCACTCCTTCCCTCTGACTCCCCGAGCAGGTCAGCAGACTGCAGGAGCTTACTGTCCCTTTGAGGGGCAGACACTTCCTTCCTGCCTTTGAACCCTTCTCCTGCCCATCTACCACTACTCACTTACATGCACGCTGGTGTTGGGCCACAGCCACCAGACCATCTGTCTGACACCTCTCCTTATACCAGGAAGCAAGCACTGCCAGTTTTCACAATTTAAGAGCAGCTATAGGAAACTGACTTTTGTTCGCAGACCATATTTCAGACTCATTTATAATGAACATTAGACATCACCAAACAAAGCAAATAGAGATTCTGTTTATAGATCACAACTTAGTCATTTCTTCGGACTATGATTGTGACCGTAACCTGCATTTGCCAGAAATTGGTGTTAGCTGTCTGGACTGGCAATAACTGGGATAATTATGCCAATAATGTGACACCCTTTCCTAAGCCTGTGAAGTTTTATGAAAATCCGCTTTAATCTGCAAACTCAGAATCTACCCGGTATGGTTAACAGAGACCAGACATTCATGACCTCCCTGTGCTCCTGGGATGCAGAGCTCATGCTTCAGCCTCACTGAAACATCATTTCTCATCCTGATTCCCCGTATTCCAAACCTACCTACTGCCCTTCCTCCAGGGGCCTCATGGAGGCCCACCGAGTCCTATTTATGTAGTAAGGGGTATCAAGTCCCTATGATACCAAAGCTATGACAGCAGCTGTCTATTCTACGGTCTGAGGCCCAGCCCAAAGCTATGCTGGGGTAACGGAGCTTAAGGCCTAGGTAGGGGCTACAGTCTCAGCAACACAGATTAGAATGCCTCGTCTGGTTCAGTTTGGACTCTAGTGTGCAGTATTATTTGTTCATTTGAATATGGTCTTGTGTAGCCCAGGCTGGGCTGAAACTCACTCTGTAGTCAAGGATGACTTTGAACTTCTGATTCTCTTGTCTCTACTTCCATAGTGCTGGGATTATAGCCAAGTTTAGATAGTGGTGAGGTCAGCCCAAAGCCTGGGCAAGCACTCTACCAACTGAGCCACATCCCTCCCCCACCTGTGTCATTTATGATTGGCGGTACAATTACTATGAATTCTGAGGCGTCCCTGCCCGTGGTTACACCAGAATGCATCTTTGGGCCATGAAGCAGTGACCTCTTGAGGAGCACTGTGAAGTGAAATGGGTTTGAGTAACCTTGACTCTTTTCCTGTTACATATATTTATGTATCTGAGTCTTCTGTCTTCCTGTCCGTCTGCATGACAGTGAGGGCATCAGATTCCACTACAGAAGGTTGTGAACCACCATTTGAACTCAGGAATTGAACTCAGGACCTCTAAAAAAGAACAGCCAGTGCTCTTAACCACTGACCCATCTTTCCAGCCCTTTGACCCTTTTTCGTATAAGTTATCTTAGAGTGCTACAGGGCATGTTAGCTGGCACCAGGACGTGCACTGATGGCAGCCATGTCTGCTTCACAAGGTGGCAAGGACACTGTAGGAGTTTCTCATTCATTTGACAGCCCTCTTAGGGTTTCTGCAACATCAGGGCCGTCTTTCAGGCTAAGCCAGCTCCCTAGATTGCTGATACCTGCCTTCTGTCCAGCACTGCATCGTCCGCGCATGTCCAAAGCTGTGTCCCCCTTCAGCATCACCACTCGGTAGTTGTAATTCCGCCTTTTATCAGAAGCCGATACATTCTCATCAGCATCAGATCGAATTTCTATGTATTCAATATCTGAGACAGAAAGCAGAGTATTTTAGAGAACCACACTACACCTCTGTCACTTATGCACACTGTCATGGAAGCCTGGACACTAGTGCGTCTCATGTCCTTAGAAGCACTGGCTGCCTTGCAAACTCTGGCCAGGAAGACTCAGGGTCACGTGGTCTGCCAAGATACAGCCGGGATGGCCCACCCCCAGCCTGGGCCAGCTCTTTCTCAGAGTTTCCTTTGGGTACTTTTCTTATCACACTTGGGCCTATCCCTATCTGCGCTTTCACAGAACCCATTATGTCATCAGCTAACTGTGTCTGCTGCAGCTAATATGAGTCCCACAGGGCTCTGGAAGAGAAACTTTGCATTTTCTTTTTGTTGTAAGATGTTGCAAAGATAAGAATTCTTAGAAATCTCTCAAAGACATGCTCAGGAAGGGGTTTGAGAAGGCGATGCTGGCAACTAAGGTCATACAGGAGAGGTTGTGGATAGAGCTTTGGGACAAGCACCTGGGACACACCATGTTAGTTACCTTGTCCACGATAGGTACTCCGCCAAAGATCACGAATAATTTTGTTGATTTCTTCCATTTTCATACTGTGAAATTTCATTATTGCTCTGGAAAAAGGGAGCCAGTTTTACTTAATACAATATGTACTATTTATATGAAAGACATAACTATGTAGTAGTATATGCTTAATTATTATGAACATATATAATATACACTAATAATGATAATAAAAATAATGTCACTGCCCTAGTAGTGACAATTACAAAAGTAGACTATGGAAAGGCCTAGGAAAAAAATTAAACAGGACCAAGCAGTGCCATTTCCCTGGTACTGGGAACTACCAGGAGTATGCCAGGACCCAAGTTTTCACACATCTCTGTCTTTTCCTCTGGAATCCAAGGAATTCTTTAAGTACTCAGAGACTGCAAGGGTTGAGTGTGGTGGTACATACTTTGAATCCTGTACTCAAACAGAGGCCAGCCTGGTCTACATAGTAAATTCCCCAAAGCTATACAATTAGACCCTGTCTAAAAATAAATCCCAAAAAACTTTTAGAAAATAAAACTTTAACAGACTTCTTTTCTAGGCCCAAAGATCACAATGGAGAGGGGGTGGGGGGCAGCCTCACCAGTACCGGCAGGAGGTACCGGCCATTCTAGAATTTTTTGTTTTATTTTTCTTTGAGACAGGGTCTCTACAGGCTGTCCTCTAGACCAAGCTGGCCTTGCACTCAGAGATCCACCTGATTCTGCCTCCTGAGTGCTGGGACTAAAGGTGTGTGCCACCATGTACCATGGCCAGGTTTTTCTAGAATTATTAAGGTTTATCAAATCTAGCCCCTAATACTCTTTTATTTCTCATATCTGTGAATTTTTACCAACCTGAAGGCATCTCTGGCTCAAAAGGAGGCCTTGACTTAGAAGCCTGAGTCTTTAGTCAGTCACAAGGCCTAGTACTAGTGTGCACTGACCTCCACAGGCTGCCCTTACTTCCAATTCTAGACACTGAAAGAAGAAATGCTTGTGAAAGACAAGGCTTCCTGTTAAACTTGAACACCATGCCTGCCCTAGCTACCTCAGATCTCAGGAGACAGGGCTAACAAAGTCACTCCCGTGGTAAGAAGGCAAGTTTCACAGCTATCACCATGCAAAGGATGTGAGCGGACTCTCTTCCATTTGCAGGCCTCTTATCTGATATATACAAAAAAAGAAACTAAACGTAATGCCGCTGCCTCTGTACAATCATTCCGTGATCTTCTGATCACCAGCCAAAGAGAAAGAAATGACTCAACATAAATACGTCTAAGTATCAGATGCAGGGCTGCGGAAGCAGCGAGCCCGGAGAAGCCTCTCTGCTTCACCAGGTCTCCATTTTCTAACTCACGCTCATCTCTGCCGAACATTTTATGCTTCTTTCATAAAGAGTAGACAAACCAGCTATTATTTTCTTAAAAAGAGAAAATTTTAACAAAAAAATACTTCACCGAATGTTCTGGGAACCAATCATATGTGAAGACTACTTTTCCAAAGCTTTATACGCTAGGATCCTAATTTTATGAATGACCTTTTAAAATGTTATTTTTTCCCCTCTGATTGGTAACTAACATAAATAAGCATACGAATGGAGAACAAACACCAGGCAGGGCAGACAACCAGAGCAGTGGGAGAGAGGGAGCTTCAGTATAGCCAAGCAGCCCACTCAGGGTGTCACAGAAATGACTGCTACTGTTGGCTGGCCTGGCCGCTGAAGGTTGGTCTCTCTGGGAGTTAACAGTACAGTGGGCAACCATGGGGATGACAAAGGTGACCGCAGTAGGCCATCTAAAGAAGCCGCTGATGTGAGTGGTCACCAATAAGCTTCCCCTTCTGAAAGACAAGCCATGTTCCAAGTCACAGAGCATCTTTCCAATCTCCAATCACTACAAAAATTTGCCCAGGATACAGAAAGTGGCTAGTTGTTTGTTTGTCTGTTTTTAAGGTAGTGAACAGACAAGAAGAGTATTATCAAATCTTCAAAGCGTGCCTACCCTCTGGGTATACAAAGTAGTATACAGCAAGAAGAAACTGAAAAGAGCAAACACCTTTGGGCTTGTTTTGCCTATGATGAGAGAAGTAAGTATCCTAAATGTGTTTAGTCATAAGTGCACTGAACAGAACTCATGACTGTGGAGACTTTCCTGCTGTGCATGGAAACCAGGGTAAGCACATCTTAGGCATCTACGTCCCCCAGCCCCCCAATCTCAGCTTACTGAGTGTTCTTCATCCCTAGAAAGCAAGAACAGCACAACAGGAAGAAAGCTGTCCAAGGTGACACTGCATACCAGACTTAAGAAAAACTGATGAGCCAGTGACTATAAAAGGAACATCTGCTGCACTAGCACAGAGTTTTGATAAAACACTCAAGGAAATGATAAATGGAAGAAAATATCTTTCTTTCACAAAATGTCTCAGGCATCTATAGCAACAGCAAAAACAATCTAACACAGACACAGCACTTTTCCCACAATAATCAGGAGAGGTGCTGTAGCTTGTAAGACACCAAAGAGAAAGGAGTAAAGTTAAGCAGAAATGAGCCTAGGTATGGGGGTACAGGCCTTTAATCCCAACACTTGGGAGGCTGAAACAGGCAAATCTTTGTAAGTTCCTGGCTAGCCTGGTCTACATAATGAGTTCCAGGACAGTCAGAGCCACACAGATAGTGACATCCTGTTACTATCTAGTGTCTAACACTGTTAGGAAAGACAATGGTGGGGTTGGGTGGGTCCAACAGCTAGAGAGATGAGTCAGTCAGCAAAGGACTTACAGCAACAGCCCTAATTCAGAACCCAGAACCCGTGTAAAAGGCCAGGTATGGTGGGGCCTATCACCAGGGAGATGAATACAGGAGGACCTCAAGCTCACTGACCATCTGAGTGATGAGCCCCAGAAACCCTCTTCCATAGAGAGAAGATGTATCAAAAAAAAAAAAAGAAAAAAGAAAAAAAAAGAACTACTGAATATGTGATCTCTCTCTCTCTCTCTCTCTCTCTCTCTCTCTCTCTCTCTCTCTCTCTCTCTCTCTCCAGTTAAAGTAACCAGTGTAGTGGCACACACCTGCTACTCAAGGCTGGTCAGGAAGATTACTGGAGAATAACCAGAAGGAAGGCATTTTTGTAATCCTTTGATTGAGAAGCTCTGACTAAGGTACAAAACTATGAAGATATAAACTAAGTCATCAATGATGTCATGAACAAAGTTAAAGGACAAATGATGAACTTAAAATTAAAGAGAAGGGGCAATTTTTTTCCTTTTTTTAAATTGGATATTTTATTTATTTACAATACAGATGTCATTCCCTTTTCCCATTTCCCCTCCCTAGAACCCCCTGTCCTATATCCCTTCTTCCTTTATGCTTTTATACCATTTTGATTACATGTATGTATTAAGGTCAGTTCTAGGTTGAGGCTCTAGCAATACAATAGATGCAAATAGTCAAGGAACAAGCAATACAATAAACACAAATAGTCAAAGAAAAAGCAAGGCATTAAACCCAATTACGTGAACACTCCCGTGATCACTGTTTCTAAAGGCTTATCAGGATGACCAAAGTATCTGAGCCTACTTCCTTTCCCTAGCCCAAAGTCATTTTCATGTCTGAAGCCTACTTCCTTGTTCTAGCCTAAAATTTAGATTCCTGTCTGAAATTTGTTTTAGCCTAATATTTAGATTCCTGCCTGAGATTACTTCTTTGTTGTAGCCTAATGTCAGATTCCTGCCTGAAGCCTACTTCCTTGTCCTTGGCCAATGTTATATTCCTGCCAAGCAGCCCATTTCCTTGTCCTTGACCCATGTCAGATTCTTGCCAAGCAGCCCCAAGGGCTCTCCACTTCTCCCCCTTTTTTATTTCATTAACAAGACTGAGCCTGTCTTAGGTCATTCTAACAAGAATGCCTTCCTTATCCATCATGGAATATGCATGACCAAAAGCAATGCACTTCTCTCTTAGGTTGGTAAGGATCTGTGCAGAATCTTACCTGTCCTTGGCTTTCCAGCCTGTTAAATTAATAACTTTGTCTGGGAACCATTATTAGTTTCAAGTCATGTACTTTGTCTGCCAGCCTGTTGATGTAGTTAGAGACAAGCTTTAACACGATTGGTAGGAACAAAAGTATTCCCAGGACAAGAAGGACTAGCCTGATCAAGCTATATATGCCATTCCTGAGGTTTGACCAAAAATGGAAATACTGACCTCAGGCCATGGATAATTTTATCGGCATTATCTGCAGCATCAAAGCTCAACAGAGCATTCTTTAAATTCATAATCTCACTACGCAAAGTTAACACACCCAGAGAGGTGTTAGGATTATGCCAAATATCCTACAGGTGTCTTTAAACTTTTTTTCTAATTATAATGACAATCATTGTGAATTTCAAAAGTAACACTACTCCAATGATATTTGTCATGACACTTGGGATGGGTCCTAACTCTTGAACCCTGAACCTCCTTCAGATAATCTGAATAGGCTATAGAGTATCATCCGTTGTTCCAGATACCTATATAAATCCTTTTGTATACTCAATAGATTAGTAACATTTTTTTGCTAGATGGTTAACAAAAACAGTTGTCTTAACTCCTTGTCTCAATGCTATTGCAGAAGCAGTGGTGCTAGCAATTAATGAATTTAATGCTGTTATACCAGCAATAATCAAGCCCGCTACCCTCTTGCTTCTGCTTAAAGCTTAACTCACTTCTTCCAGCACTTTCAAGCTTTTTTCAGCAAATCAAGGTTTTCTAATACTCAGGGCAGTGAGACAAAAGCTGGTTGACAGACCCCCATAACAGACATGCCAGGTTTCAACACACTAACACAATTGGAAATTATACAGTTAATGCAACTTATAATAAATACTGTAGAAGAGACAAAACCAATTTTAGCTTGACAATTAAAAGAGCCTTAAAACATGCACTGACCCTTGTTTGAAATCCAGATCCTGTCCCAACTTTATCTCTTGCTATCGTAACATCATAGTGAGCTACAGCTAACTTCTAAATATGTCTCTGACAATGTCAAAGACAAAGATCCAGTCTTCTAAAAGTAGACTGTTATTTCCAATATTGGATTGATTTC